GTCTGTGTCAACATCATTTATCGACATTGGATATATATCTCTTAACATGCCCCTGCAAGATGGTGGTTCATTTGAGCAGACCAATCTTGAAATCCACGTGCTCATTTTAGAGTTTTAATAGGATCAAATCGCTCGTTGAAGCATAATGGGCTCTGATACCATATTAAAAATTGAGATTCCATCTTAAAAGGTCAACATTGTTAAGAGGAGTAGCCAAAAATCTTTATTAATTGGTCTGTATCAACATGATTTATCGATGTGGGATATATATCCCTTAACACAATATACATTCAAATACATTATTCTTGGTGGCTTAAATTAGAGTAGAATCAATTATAATTGATTTTTTTTTTGTTTCTTCTACTTTTTCAAAATTGAACTTTTTGACTTCAAGCGCCAACAAAGTATAAACTCATTATTTTTGTATTAATGGATCAAAAGAGTTATTTAATTCATTTACAGTTGTTCGTTCAATTCATTTTTCACTTAATAAATTCGAACCTTAATAAAGTCTGAGGGATTAGATGACATCCTCAATTAATGCTTGAACTGGTATGGAATTTTGATACAACATTTATAAATTAATTAACATCACTATCGGCTCCGAAAAATTAAATAGCTTAGTGCATTTACCTTGAACATGTTATAGTGATCAATTGCCACTTTTCCATTTAAACCATCCGCAATGCTAGCTGCCAATCCAATAAATAAAGATAAATATATGCACCCAAGGATCTTTTGTCACAAGTACATGTACGTGTGCATGTGTAAATTAATACATGCTTATGTCAGGTATTGAGATTTGAGGTTTTATCTTAAATCGAAAACTTCGATAAAAAAAGTGTCACGAGCCTTCTTTTGTTGACTGATACTTTTCACTTATATGAGATTATATACTTGACCTACCTTTGCACGATAGTGACTCAGTTCGAGATTTTGAGATGGATCAAGTCACTTGTTTGAGCTTGTTGGACGATGATACAATATTGAGAATATAAATTTCATCTCAAATGGATAATGTTATATATAGGAGTAGCTGAGCTCTTATATGGTAATTCATATTTTATATTTACTGTTTCTAAACATGCAAGACTATAAAGAGAGAGAGAGATTGAAGAGACCAGGAAATTTCTCTGTCATATAATCCCAATTACTCCAGCCTTTACCACCTACATTCCAAGCACCTTCTACCTGAAATAAATTATACATTCATAAATTAAGAACTCAAGAAAGTTAAATTACATGTGAATGGATCTTCTAACATATACACTCCCATATGATAGTTTTAGCAAATCTTAATTATTCTAAACAATAATGGATTAACAAATAGTTTTATAAGCTACATTTAATAGTATTTCACAATATTAAGAAATAGTACGGTTTGTCCATTTTCTTGTCCAAATCTGCCTGATACAACATACTAAAACATACCAATTTTTCCCTTGATATGCCAATGTTATAGCACCGAAGATAAACTCCTCGGAAAATTAGTTACAAACCTGATATGCAGATGTTGCACCACCGAAAATAAAATCCTCAGGGAAGCTACAGCGTTTGACCTCAGTTTGGGGTGGAGCCATTGGAATGAGCGGTATGGGATATTATAGTTAGTTGGGAGAGGTGTATTGTTCCTCTCTTCCATGTACTCTATTTATAGACCGGGTTTCAAATGCTTGTATCATACTATTAACATAAACTATAATCTATTGGGAAAGGTATCAATTACAGAAATTGAATCGAAGAAGACGGTGATGGGAAAAAAAAAAAAACTATAGAATTTGGTTGAACAACTTGTTTCAGAGAACTGAGAATACTTTAATTGGTTGAAGAAATGAAAATTCTCAATACAGCGAGAGCTGCGGCTGGTTCAGAGGATTTTCTGTCCACTTCCAAAGCGAAACCGTTCAGCAATTTCCACAGTTGACTTTAGCATTTCTTCTTCTTCTTCTAACATCGTCATTTCCCAACCATTTCCAAATAATTATTAACAAGTTGAGGTTGCTCACTTTATCTTGCATTTTGCCATTTTCCTCGTTCTAATAACACAGCCATGTTAACCAAGAGCTGAGCATGTTTGGCAAATAATAGCATGTTCTCTTTACTGTTTTCAAATCGTTTTCTATTTTTGATTTTCCAAAACAATGAAAAAGCATTTTCTTTCCTATTTTTAAAAACGCATTTTTGAAAAAAAGTTAAAAATTTTCCGTCCACTTGCAAAGCGAGCGGTTTTTCTCCCCTGTATGGTTTACGGGCTAATGCACATGGATCGAGATTTTACCAATGAGGACTCAGGGGGTAGTGGCTGCGAGTTCCTACGTAAAAAAAAAA